TTGTTGCGTTGAAGAGGCTGGCGCGTGTTGCCTTGTTGGTCCCCTTTCTCTTTCTCTCCTCTCTCCCCTCCTCCCCCCTTTTGAGGACATACTTGATAGAATTCAATGCGTACCAACCTGCTTTTTTTCTTTGCGAGGGTTCACCTTCCTGATTGTGGTGCATGTTAATTTCTTAGCCCAAATAGACGCATTGCTCAACTTCTTCTATTTGTTCTCCTTTGTTGTTTGGACTTTTGGCAAGGTATCAGACTGCATACATTTAGTTTTGGAGCGGTTAATTTTCAATCCAACTTGACTGCTTTTTGTGTTGAGTTCTCGCAGCATTTTCTGTAGTTGAATAGTATTTTTGGCAATCAACACAATATCTTCTGCGAATCTGAGATGGTTTAAGTGCTCTCCGTTGATGTTGATTCCACCCTTACAATTCATCTGCCTCATTACCATTTCGAGGCAGGCTGTAAAGAGTTTCAGTGAAACCGTGTCTCCTTTTTTCACATCTTTCTTAACTGGGATGCGAAGAGGAGTATCAAATAGTTATATCTGTAGTGCAGTCAGAATTTGCATAATAGTTTGAGACAGTTTGTGTCGATGCCCTGCTCTGCAAGAGCTTTCAACACTGCTTTGATCTCCATGCTGTTGAACGCTTTTTCATAGTTTGACAAAGGCAATACGTAAAGAGAATTTGTATTCCCTTGAGCGTTCCAATAGCTGGTTTATAGTGAAAATATGGTCCATTGTACCGAAATTCCTTCGAAAGCTTGCTTGCTCTGAGTCTGGATGAGCAGCAGCCGAGAGAGCCAGTTTGTTGTTTGTTTTGCTGAACAGCTTGTAGACGTGAGAGCAGGCATATTGGACGATAGTTCTCTAGATTTTCATGATCGCCCTTCTTGAACAGCAGAATGATATTGGACTCCTTCTAGCTAGATGGTATCTGTGATAGGTTGGGTCACAGAAACCCCCTTGGGGCTGCCAACTGATGTGCCAAGACTACTACTGCCCCTGCTTTCCCTGCCAGCTTGGGACTCCAGCACCCTGTCTTGTTGAGCCAGACACACCAGTCTGCTCCAACACAGACCCAGAGTCCAAATCACGTGCCCCAAAGCTGCAGACTTAACTGAAAGCAACTTAAGAAGTGTTCCTGTCTTTAACACTCAGATGCCCAACTCCCAATGGGGTCCAAACCCCAAATATACCCTGTATAAGCCTTATACAGGGTAAACTCATAAATTGTTCGCCCTCTATAGAGAGATGTGCACTGCTGTTTGGTTCCCCTCCCGCCCCCCAACTCCCGCAGGTATTAATACATACTCTGGGTTAATTAATAAGTAAAAAGTGATTTTATTAGATCCAGAAATAGGATTTAAGTGGTTCCAAGTAGTAACAGACAGAACAAAGTGAATTACCTAGCAAAATAAAATAAAACACACAAGTCTAAGCTTAGTACAGTAATAAAACTGAATACAGATAAAATATCACCCTCAGAGATGTTTCAATAAGTTTCTTTCACAGACTGGACACCTTCCTAGTCTGGGCACAATACTTTCCACTGGTACAGCCCTTGTTCCAGCTCAGATGGTAGCTAGGGGATTTCTCATGATGGCCGCTCCCTTTGTTCTGTTCCACCCTCTTATATATCTTTTGCATAAGGCGGGAATCCTTTGTCCCTCTCTGGGTTCCCACCCCTTCTCCTAAATGGAAAAACACCAGGTTAAAGATGGATTCCAGTTGAGATGACATGATCACATGTCACTGTAAGACTTCATTACCCACTTGCCAGCACACATGTATACAGGAAGACTTACAAGTAAAACAGAGCCATCTACAGTCAATTGTCCTGGTTAATGGGAGCCATCAAGATTCCAAACCACTATTAATGGCCCAGACTTTGCATAATTACAATAGGCCCTTAGTTATTTCATATTTCTAGTTTCAGGTACAAGAATGATACATTCATACAAACAGAATGAACACATTCAATAGATTATCAGCTTTGTAATGATACCTTACAAGAGACCTTTTGCATGAAGCATATTCCAGTTACGTTATATTTACACTCATTAGCATATTTTTCTAAAATCCTATAGAGTGCAAGGTCACAGTATCTTCTGCATTTTCTAGTAACGGCTAAACCTCTGAGCAAGGGTTTCCCAGAGATCTTGGCCTCCAGCTCTGATTTCGATTCAGTCCATCTGTGGCTTTTTCTTCCTTCATTTGGTGAACTGAATGTCTAACTTCGCTGACAAGGACTGGGAGTGCATGCTCAATGTCTGAACTGTTCGTACTGGGATATTTATCTGAGACGCAAACATTTCGGTGTAGAAATCTTTGCACACCGCTTCCATCTCTGTTATGTCAATTACTGGTTTTCCGTCCCCGTTCTTCAGCGCCATTATTGTTGACTTGTACAGTGTCAGTTCCCTTTTGCATATTTTGAGGCTTCTGCGATCTTCAGCCGTCTTTAAGAGTCTTTCATTTTGGTACTTCTCAAAGTCCTCCTTTAGATGTCATCTTATCAACTTGCAGAGGAGGGAGTATTCAAGTTTGTCACCATCATTTCGCTTCCTATTCCTCCGCTTTTCTAGCAAGTTCTGCGTTTCCTCCGAGATTCTTCCCTTCACTCTTTTCGGCCTTTCTTTCTCAGCTAATTTCACACATTGCCTCAACTTATCAGTCAAGTTTTTACAATCTTCATCGCAGTTATCTATAAGACTCCAGTCTTCCTTGAAAATGTTCACTTTCAAGATTGCCTCGTCAAATATTTTTGGCTGCTGTCTGTGATTCGCCATCTGTAGCGCTTTCTTCTCCGCCCTTTCGTTGAAGTTGAGACGTGCTCTGAGCAAGCAACTACCGGAGTGATGTGATGGTACTACTAAGTTGTCTTGTACAATGCGCCACTTATTGATCAGAACATAGTCAATCGCCGCCTTCTTTGAATTGGGCGCAATCCATGTCCACCTCCTCTTGGCTGCCTTCTTAAATCAGGTGTTACCAATGAACATTTCTTTCATCTCCGCCAGAGTTGCCAGTTGCTCTCCTCATGGCTTTTGTTCGCCAATGCCATACCTTCCAATGAACTTTTCACCTTCTTTCCCTCTTGGCTTTGAAATCTCCCGTCACAATTGTATATGTGGATTTTTGAGCAAGGGTTTCCTCAAGCTCTTGATAGAATTCTTCCACATCATCTTTACTTGTGCTTGTGAGAACATGATCTGAATAATCTTGAGGGTGCTGTTCTTGTTCAGTTGGAGGTGTAGCACTCTGATGCGCTATGACTTGAATTTGCAGGAGATGATTTTTTGAACACCATTCCTTATTGATGATGAAGCAGATTCCTCCAATGGTTCTCGCGCCTTTTCCTTTTCCCAACACTTTTGTCTCTCCACTTCACTTCCATCTCCTTTCTTCGTCATATTTCGCAGAGACCAATGATGTCGCAGGCTGTCCTTGCCTTCTCCTCCATCAGGTGGTTGATCGAATCGTCTCTCGTCAGTGTCCTGCAGTTATAGGTGCACACTGAGAGGGCAGTCCTTTTTCTGGCCTCTGAGATGAACAGCCTCTCGTCGACTGAACTCCCCACCACTCTCATAGAATGGATCAAGGAGTACATGAGGAGTTGGGTCCCATTTATTCGTGTTGTTTTTGCCATTTCTTCATCCACCCGCTGGCTATGCAGTCAGTGGTGCATTTACATCCTCAACTTAGCTAGCACCCAATCTCAAGAAGGACAGCTGTCCTCTCCCTGGGTTGGTAGTCTGACGCCTTAATAGCATGTTTGAACCTACTGAAGAATACACTCCGCTGTCAGACAAGCCAGGGTTACTGCTGCGCCACTTTGAGGCATTAAAGTAGGATTTTGCAGCAGTGTACAAGCTATATATGGTCTGTTTATTTCTTTAATAGAAATAATATACACACACAGCTTGCCTCCCCAATGGAATTTCCCAGACACTTCAGTTTAAACACACTGGATTAAATAAAACAATAGAACAGCAACCCCCAAAAATAGTGCTCCACAGCAAAGAGACAAACAGGAGAACTCCAAAGGGTGGTAAATTCCAACAGCAAGCACTGGCAGAAGGAGCCTGAAATCAGTTTGATTACTTCCGCTGCACTTAAAATGCTCTCTTTAGAGATTTTAAGTGAGTATAAGTACTGAAGCATAGTGATCATAATGGTTACAAGATAAAATGCTACTGATGCCTAACTTAACAAATTATGTTAAATTCAAAGCAAAGTTCTTACCACGTTTCCAGCAGTCTTACTGACTGAACTCTTTAGGTCACGGCCTTTTCTCCAGTCCAACGGTTGCTTCCTTTATTCCTTCAGATGCAGTGAATTGATGGCCAGAGAGAGAGGCTGAGGCCTGGGGGTGTTCCTCCTTTTTATGGTTTCAGTGCCCCACTCCCTTTGAAAAACATTGCCAGCTAGGTACCAGGAGACGCACAATATTTGGCGATAGGTGTTCCCTGCTGCATTCTTCTCCACAGTTTGAGCTTCCTTTGTTTGCTGTTTAAATGCAAATTAAGCAGAATGCCCATTCCTTTGTTTAGGACAGACTTGTTTGGCATATGTTAATACAATAGATCCTCAGGGTTACTAACACCAGAGTGATGAACTGACCAGTCAACCACACACCTCATTTGGAACTGGAAGTACACTTTTTGAAAGAACAATCATAACATTTTGTTCAGAGTTACGAACATTTCAGAGCTATGAACCATCTCCATTCCTGCGGTGTTCATAATGAGGTTCTACTGTAATACTATACACTGGAATCTTATAACTTCATGTACAATGTTGCCACATATATTTTATCAGGACAGTATTGACCAGCAAATTGAGTTTTTTCAAATGATGCCTTAAAAGGCATACTTTTTTATAAAGATGATTACAGTAGTGTGTAGAGTGTGAATACAGAGTATATTCAATCACAGTCACCATAAATGGTAAGTGTACATTTTTGATTTCTCACATTCACAAGTACAAAATCTTTTCTACAGAGACCTTGGCTATGAAAGGACTGACCTTGAATTGTTTAGGGAAGAAAGAAGAAGCATACGAATTTGTTCGTAAAGGACTTCGTAATGACGTAAAGAGTCATGTCTGTATCCTTTCTAATGGTATAACTTGACCTTTTTTTATACTGGTTGTCTTCATTTTGCACAAATAGTTCATATGTTGGGTATCAGAGGTCCAGTGTGTGGTTGGTTTGGTTGGTGGGTTTCCATAAAGTGGCCTTTTGATACATATCTTCTTTTCTTTAAAACAAACCTTATTTTATATTGTGAAAGAAAAGTAGTAAGAAACGTTTCCCCTGTAAAAATTGCAAGGTAACTGCATTATGAAAAGGGAGAGAACTTGATGGCAAAAATTCTGTTTCAGGTAGATGCAGGACACTGCAAAGCTGTCCTACTCTTTGTTTAAAAACAAATAAAAATATCCTTTGCTGAATAAAATAAAAACAAGGGTTTTTTAAAATGTTTTCCCCCCATTTGGATGCCTTCTCCCACTTTATTGTGGGCATTTCATTGTTAAATGTTTGCTGCAAATTGGAAGTTGTGCATATAAAATCATCAGTGCATTCTTTTAAAGGGTCATTTGCTTGTATGGTACAAGAAATCAGGATTTGGTCAATTTTTCAATGCTACAGCAAAAGTAGACCGTACTATAAAGTAGTGGTGGTTAGAATTTGACTAGATGGATGCACGTAACAATGAAACCTTGGGAGACAACGTTCTTCATGGTGAGCAAAATCTTTTTAACTGCCATAGAGTTTTAAGAATACCAGCTATCTTCTGTTTTATAGCTTGTCCACACAGACATAATGTATGGTAAGCTGGGATGTGACTGTACGGCGCACTAGCGTGATGTGCAGTGAAAGTTCTGTAGTGCGCTTTCATGTACAATGTGGAACTTTTAGGGCCTTGCAGGTTACTCTTTAGTGAGCTGTACGTTCACACTCTGGCTTGACATACACGAAGTCTCTGTGTGGACAAGCTCTACCTTGTTACAGCTTCTGCATTTATTTAGATCTGTTCAGTGCTCTATCTCGGGCTTTGATATAAACAAAAGTTGATAACAGAATAAGCCTAACCAAGCTTTTGTCCAAAGATCATAAATAAAAACCAGAAAATTGTCTACCCAAACCAATTTTCCCCCTTCCCTATCCTAAGGGAAATCCATTTTTCACTGAAATAGGGAAATGTTATCCATAGTCACTCTCAGTTGCACTGAATTTCTTCAGGCAATCTCATTATTTTTATAAACAAAACTAAGACATGAGTCTTGTTTGGCTGGCATTGTATGCTACCTTTTTTTACCTATCCCTGCACTTTTCAACCCTCAAAGAATAAATAACCAATACACCTCTACCCCGATATAACACGGCCCGATATAACACAAATTCGGATATAATGCGGTAAAGCAGTGCTCCGGGGGGGCAGGGCTGCGCACTCCGGTGGATCAAAGCAAGTTTGATATACCTATAACGCGGTAAGATTTTTGGCTTCCAAGGACAGCGTTATATGGAGGCAGAGGTGTAGATTTGTCCTTTTTATTCCACTAATCATTTGTTGTAGCATGAAATAAAAATATGTAATTTAAAAAACTTTTCAGTTGTATTTCTTTCAGTGTATACGTGCCATCCTGGAAATGAAATTGAGATAGATAGATATATAGATAAAAAAAAAATTAAGAGTTGAAAAATTCTAACGGAGCTTTAGTTTAAGTTTTCCCTCTCCCCACAACTCTCACTTGGTTCAGAATTTTCATTCCTTGATCTTGCATTCCCCAATCTAAAGAGTTTTTGGTTCCTAAACACAGTGAGATTAAATTGGGGTGAGAGCAGTAACAACCACATATACTGTTGGTTACTTGCCATCTTGCCTAACCACCACTGTTAATTTGAACTGACAGAAGTTTTGATTACAGGCAGAGTTGCCCATAAGTTACTGCACTTCTCTAGCATTTCTGCTCTTCAACCTACTCTATAAAAATTTTGCTTTTGGTATCAATTTCCATGAATTCCTCTCCTTGACTTTCAGTCAAGTCTTTAATTTGTTTATTTCATGGACTTTGCTGCCTCAGTTTCCATTGCCTCAGATGTGTCAGTAGGGCTTGGGTTCCTAAAATCTCCGGTTTCATTGCCTGTTAGGCATCAATGTTAGTTTTTGCCTCTACCTCTTTATTCAGAACTTCAGAGGTCATCCACTGCTTCAGCCCCTCAGAAGGAAGAAAGCAGCTCTGTTCAGCAGAGTTGCTTAATTTCAGCTGCTGGGAAGTCAAGGGAGCAGGGTAATGGCTATTGAGCATGTGAGAGCTCTGTAGTTCTTCTGTTGCAAATACATTGCTACTGCAGTAACTCTGTGGCAGGATCTAACTCTTTCCTGGGTTTCTAGAAATTTAAATTGACACCAATCCAAGAATCTAAGAGCCAGATCTGAGCACTGCCTCAGCCATTGAACCCCAGACAGAGTAGGATTGTCATGTGCTTGTACCCTATGTTGGAGTAGCTTACTGAGAGCATGGCAGATGCCCCATATTGTTACAACAGTCTTAAGGCAGTTGAATGGATTCTCCCCAAGTAATCACTCGTAGAGTTCCCAATATCTTTCCCTATTGTACAAAAAGACCAATGGTCATGACCAGTGATGAGCTGCCAAAAATCTTAACCGATTCCCTATAAAAAGTTCTGATTTAAGGGATGTGCCACAGTATGTATTTTTTGGTACCTTTCTCCTTCAGAAGTGGCAATGCATTGAGTCATTGGGAGTCCTACTTAACGATAAAAAATATGTCCGTATTTTCCCTGGAGGAATTTTAAAAATTCCTCCCGGACGGCGATTTAAGAACCAAAAAGCCTGCCATGTCCGGGAAAATACAGATGGTAACCCTACCTAAAGTTCTTTTTTTAAAAAGATGGGCCTGAACTAGAAATGAGCTCCATTTCACATGTGTGGGTCCCCACCATTCCCTGGGGGTGTGCTAGGGTGACCAGATGTCCTGATTTTATAGGGACAGCCCTGATTTCTGGGTCTTTTTCTTATATAAGCTCCTATTACCCCCCCCACCCCCTCCCGATTTTTCACACTTGCTGTCTGGTCCCTAGAGTGTGCACATGTGTGGGTCCCAGCTGCTCTCTGCCCCCCTCATTGAAGCAGGTGTGCAAGGTTACTGCCCTGGGAACTGCAGGGGACCTGGGGCCGGCTGCAGACAGGGGCGTGGGGCAGGGCTGGCTGGAGACAAGGGGGTGTGGGGCTGTCTGGAGATGGGTATGTGAGGCTGGCTGGCTTCGAGCAGGCCGCAGGGGTTGGCTGCGGGCAGGGAGTGCGGGACTGGTGCGGGCAGGGCAGGGGGTGCAGCAGGGGCTGGCTGCAGGCAGGGTGGCAGGTACTCCCAGGGAGAGCAGCTCGGAGCAGCCCAGGCCCAGCAGAGCAGCCAGGGACCCACCAGGCAGCAGCGGGAGCCCCAGGGCCAGGGTTTGGGGGAGCAGCAGCAGCAACATGGCCCCTGCAGCGCCCCCGGTGGCGGAATTGCATCACTTCCCGGCAGGAGCCCATCAAAGCTGCAGCACCCCCTCGCAGGGAAGTGGGTTAACAACCGGTTCTAAAACTGCTTCAAAATTTAACAACCGGTTCGCGCGAACTGGTGTGAACTGACTCCAGCTCACCACTGGTCATGACTAGGGTGAAGACTAGAATTATGAAAGTTATTGTGCACAGAACCCTAAGATCTCCTGTTGGACTTGATTTAACAAAGGATTTACCAATCCATGTCTGAGTCCTTCATTTGTTTGTTTGTTTCATAGCCAAGGAGCAAGGTAAGCACAATCAGATGCCCTTTTAGATAGGAGATGCAAGAAAGGGAACAGGCTGGCTCAGGAGGTGAATGTTGCCTGGAGGTCTGCTTTCCCTGTGTTTTCCTAGGACCATTGAAAGCTTGAGGGAGGACCCATCCTTCATCGGAGAAATTCCTTGGGGAGTAGGGAAGCCCTTTCTCTGTAAGGCAAAGGGGATATTAAAGTTAACTTGCATTCATGTGAGCCCACATCCTGGCCCTTGGGCTTATCTAGAGAGCGAAGGGAAAGGGTCTACTTAAAAATCTGGTTTGTGTGTCAGTAGCTGGTTTCAAGGAGATGCTATATACTGCTCCTCCCCCACCTGCACTGGTTAAGGTTCCCTTGCCCATAGCAGCTGCTGAAAGGTCTCAAGCCCCCTTTCAGCAAAGGTGTGTTTTGTTTTGTTTCCTTCGTTTTAAAGGGCAGTTTTGAAGGGTTATGGAATGTGTAGCTAGTTACATTAGTCTTCTGTGACTTCATTGCTTGAGGAAGAGTAGGGAGATCCTTACCCCAGTTGCCCCATCACTTTGAGCATATGGTCCCCCTGAACGTTGTTCATTCAGATGACAAAATACACTTTGTGAGCAAAAAAGGGAAGGGATCCAGAACGTTCCGGATCAGAAAAACATGAGAGCTCTTACCCGTTCTGAATCTTGCATCTAAATCAATAGCTAGGCAAAAAAGTTCAAGATTTTCAGTCTGAGAACAAACGTCTCTTACAGAGAAGGTGACACGTTATGTTGAAACCACAGTGGTTCATGATAAACTGCTCAAAGCCCCATCTTGTTGCTAGCACACCATTGGAGTACGTTGAGCTGAATTGTGTCTAGAAGGGCTCTAATCTTCTCGCTATTGCATACAAACCAAGACATCACCAGTCTGGCAGGTAGGATATTCTGTGACTGTCTGGTGACAGCTTGTACTGTTATAAATCCTGGGTCTCATAGTACCTGTGGCATATCTATACAGTTTTGTCTGAGTCAGTTTGAGTGAATTTTGAGGTACCAATAGAAGAAAGCGCAGTATAGGGGATTTCTGTCTCTGAACTGCTGCCAGGCCAGAGAAGCCAGGAGGTCCTGTCAACCATTGCCAATTGGACTTTCATATGCCACCACTCAAACTGTAGTTAGTATTAGGGTGACCAGACGTCCCGATATCAAGCAGTTTCTCCCGCGTCCTGACCGAAGTACGGTCGGGACGCCATTTGTCCCGATATTTTGTTTTGGGCGTGTTTTTCTCCCCCACCCCCCCCCACCCCTTGTTGCTTAGGCAGGGGGAGCCCCTTTTCAATTGTTACATTCACCCGGCACGTCCGGGTCTCGGCGGCACTTCGGCGATGGGTCCTTCAGTTGGCGGCAGGTACTTTCTTCTTTGGCAGCAAGGTTTATTACCCGCCGCCGGAATGCTGCCGAAGACCGTCAGCGACTGAAGGACCCTCCACCGAAGTGCCACTGAAGACTCGGACGGGTGAGTGTAACAATTGAAAAGGCGCTCCCCCTGCGGCGGTCCCGATATTTTGGAATTCTCATCTGGTCACTCTAGTTAGTATGCATGCATGTAAATTTGGATGGGGAGCCTGCATTCAGGGATTCCATACCCAGAACTCTTGGCCTCCCCAAGACTAGCAGCTGCATCATCAATGGTTGTAGAGGTGAATGGTAGTCCTGTGTGCACTAAGGACTTTCAGAGATGTGGTATCCCAAAGGATTGTCCGTTTGAATCAGAATCATTTGGTTGTATCCTTCATAAATAGGAGGTATTAGGTTGTGCTTCCTGTGTCAGGAAGGGTGGGAGTGGACTTTTTCCTATGTGATATGATGTTCCTGGTGGTCATGTACTTGGCAGAACACCACAATTACAGATTATATTGATCTGTGATAGATCCTCACAAGTGGTCTCTGAATTAAGGACTTATCTGGTGGAGAACATCAAAGGTGAATATATTCCCCACTTACATCATGGTAGTGACTTTTCATTGTAGAATGAGTGAGCTTCCGGTCTAGTGTCTGACCTACTTCATGCCAAGTTAGCCAAGATTTGTGTGTCTGATTTGTGATAGAGTTCCACTTCTAAGAGCCTGTTCTGCCAACAGTCTTCCAACACTTATGTACTCATTTCAGTGAGGCTGTTCTTAGTGTACTTTATCTTAATACACCTGTACCCCGATATAACGCAACCCGATATAACACTAATTCGGATATAACGCGGTAAAGCAGCGCTCCGGCAGATCAAAGCAAGTTTGATATACCGCGGTTTCACCTATAACGCGGTAAGATTTTTTGCTCCTGAGAACAGCGTTATATCGGGGTAGAGGTGTAATTCTCTTAAGGTTCTGCTTGGAGCAGATTGCTTAGATCAATGTGATTATACTAAGAGGACCATGTTTTGTATTTTGCCTGATTGTGTATTTTGCATTGTTATGATCTGACTGGCCATGTAGTGCTCATTCAATCTGAGGAAGGGTGGCTCAAATCTGGGGTTTCCATTTTACTCAAAGCGCTGTGTTGCTTGGATTCTTCTTTCGTGCAAGAATCCAACTTTGGGTTCTTAGTTCTGCAGAACCTGTTTCTGAAGTACAGGGGAGTCCTCTGCTCTGCCTCTCCAGCCCCCACCTACTGGTTTTGCCTCTTACTTAGGTTAGAGAAATTTAAGTTTTTCTGTTTTGGACTCTTTCTACAGGCTTTTAAGTATTTAAGACTATTTTCTGTGGGATGTATTACACTGTTAACCCCAGCAAGTAAAAAGAGTAAGGAGGTTATGTTTGTACTTTGTCCTGGGACATCACAGGAACTTCTTTCTTTGGGAGTTGATTCCCAGAGAATGTGAAATTACTTACCTTGTAATTCTGTTTCTCTGAATATATTCTGGCAAGATGCTTGTTCACCCTCCCTCTTCAGCATCAGAGTTTGTACAGGGTATTTATTTTTTACACTTAGTTGTATTCTACCATTGTAAGGCATTTTTCAATCTTTGTTTTGTGTGATGAGCTAACTTTTTTTTTTGGGCGGGGGTGGGGGGGAACAGTTACTTCCCACTCAAAGAAAATTAGCCAGAATTCAGAGAACTCCCACCCCTTCACAAGCAGTAGTCTGTCCTCCTCCACAAGCCATTTGTGACACCTTTTGCAATCAACAAAATGGTTACATAAAGGTACTGCTACCTCAATCCCACAATACTTTGAACCACAAAGGATTGTGGGATATGGTGTTCATGAGGCAATTTTTGAGTTGTAGACCAAAATAGTTGAGAATTACTAATTTAGAGGATGCTATATCAATGAGCAGTGTCAACTTGAGAGTTCTAAAGAATTAACAGTTTGACAAGGTTTGTTCCTTTATTTGCTAGGATTGTGAAGTTAATGACTGAAGTGATCATACCAGATTATGTAATTGGATTTTTTTAAGATTATTTCATAGTATCATGCCTACAGTTCAAAGATTTTCACAGGATAAGAGAGGAAGGGGCACTTAAGGGAGAAAAATGCAAATCCTCACTCAAGATCACTGATGTCTCAAAGCTAGAAGAAACCTGAGGTACTACAGTGCTGACAGTCAGAGTTGGTCAGCTGGAGATGCACACATATTGAAAGATTTCTTCGTTGAATAAACTATACCGCTTTCTTATTTAAGACAGTTTTGACTTGATATGATTATCTCTTATTTTTAGTAAAACTGTTAACTTTAGGTCAGGGGTTCTCAAACTGGGGGTCTCAAGGCGTCGCAAGGTTATTAGATGGGGAGGTCATGAGCTGTCAGCTTCCACCCCAACCTCCACTTTGCCTCCAGCATTTATAATGGTGTTAAATATATTTTTAAAAGTGTTTTTAATTTATAAGGGGGTGTCAAGGCTGCTTCCCCACTTTGAACTTTAGGGTACAAATGTGGGGGCCTGCATGAAAACTTCTAAGCTTAACTACTAGCTTAGATCTGGTCCGCTGCCACCACTCCCAAAATGCTAATTCGCTTCCCTGGGTAGCCTTGAGAGACTCTTCACCAATTCCCTGGTGAATACAGATCCAAACCTCTTGGATCTTAAAACAAGGAAAAATTAACCATCCCCCTCCTTTCTCCCACCAACTCCTGGTGGATCAAGATCCAACCCCCCTGGTTCTAAAAACAAGGAAAAAATCAATCAGGTTATTAAAAAGAAGGCTTTTAATTAAAGAAAAAGGTAAAAATCTCTGTAAAATCAGGACGGAAAATAACTTTACAGGGTAATCAAACTTAAAGAGCCCAGAGGAATCCCCTCTAGCCTTAGGTTCAAAGTTACAGCAAACAGAGATGAAACACTCTAGCAAAAAGGTACATTTACAAGTTGAGAAAACAAAGATAAAAACTAACACGCCTTGCCTGGCTGTTTACTTACAAGTTGGAAATATGAGAGACTTGTTCAGGAAGATTTGGAAAGCCTGGATTGATGTCTGGTCCCTCTCAGTCCCAAGAGCGAACAACCCCCCAAACAAAGAGCACAAACAAAAGCCTTCCCCCCCACCAAGATTTGAAAGTATCTTGTCCCCTTATTGGTCCTTTGGGTCAGATGTCAGCCAGGTTACCTGAGCTTCTTAACCCTTTACAGGTAAAAGGATTTTGGAGTCTCTGGCCAGGAGGGATTTTATAGTATTGTACACAGGAGGGCTGTTACCCTTCCCTTTATAGTTATGACAGGGGGGTCCCACATAGAGGCTTGCTATGTGAAAGGGGTCACCAGTACAAAAGTTTGAGAACCACTGCTTTAGGTTATTTGGCTCTTAAACTGTTACAGTGTAATTTACTGCAGTTTTCTTGGAGTTAAAAAATCTCCTGACCTGTAGCCTTCCTTCAGAAGTACAAGACAGTGGCTTGCCCATCCTCAGCATTCCAATTAAGGTTGTAAATACACACTAAATAACCCTGCTGGCAATAAAGGAGGACAAGAAAATGTATAGCATAAAGATTGAGAAGAGTAAGCAAACCTAAATAGCATGGAAGATTCTCAGAGAGAAAGAGAAATCTAGTTTCTTGGTCAGTATAATACATAGGCAATGTAATTACCTTCAGAAAAATGTGAATGCCTGTCACTTTCCTTAACCTGTATTAGGTTGGCATGTGTACGGACTCTTGCAGCGTTCTGATAAGAAATATGATGAAGCTATTAAATGTTATCGAAATGCTCTCAAATTAGATAAAGACAATCTACAGATCCTAAGAGATCTTTCATTGTTGCAGATCCAAATGAGAGATCTAGAAGGATACAGAGTAAGTATTTTATTTACATTTGTATGTTTTAAAACTACTAATTTTTAGTTTTTGTTTCTGGTAAGCTTAACTCAAAAGTAACAAGTCATTTGAGCTGCTGTCTGGAAAGACTGAGAACAGTGAACTACAGCAGTGGTGCATTTGATGTATTGAGTTCATATGGAGGATGCCAGCCATGCTACTGTTACTCCATATTAGCTGATCCACAGAGCCATCTGTGCTTCTCAATTGCCAGACATATTCTAAACTAATGTTCACCAATTCACTCATGTGTACATTAGTTTTTTCTTAATACTGTGCACCCATTTCACACCTTACATTTTCAAAGCCTTATAAGAACATGAACTGCTTACCTCAACTTGTGGATGATGCCTACCTTCTCACCCTCCACATTACACCTGTTTTTAATGTATTTGAGGATTATTGGGATACTTTTTTAAGATGACCGGTAGCCACTCATCCTTTTAATCCATCCTGGGCAGAGGAAGGATTTAGGACTGTTTGCTTCTCTGTTCAGAAGAGCCAATTTTCACATAAGTACTAATGCTGTCCTTGACTTCCCATGTGCTGATCCCAGGTCTTCTGAAACCTTCATTCATCACTAGCTCTGGCTGCAAGATCTATTAGGAAGCACTGTATATTAAAGGCAGATGCTGCTTTGTTTCCTCTTCACCTGCATAGAGCATAGAAGAGACTATTCAGTATTGATCTTTAATACCAAGACCTCAGTTAATCTCATTATAAAAATTGCCAGAGGAAAGAGTGGAACTAGGTGGTGAAAAGGCCCAAGGAAGAAATGGGGAGATATGAAAATGAAAACACTGTAATTTTATTTCAGAAAAATTGACAGGTCGTCTTCTGATGTCCCTATGGGTGCTCCACTGTCATGCTGTAGCGCCCTCTGCGCCTCGGATTGGAGATCTTAATCAGCAATGCCCACCGGATTGAACGTGCGCTCTTCCCCCCCCCTCTCGCACTGTGAGTGGGACGTATATGTAGCGCTTTGCGGTACGACTGCCCCCCAGTTCCTTCTCTACTGCCTTTGATCTGGGACAGAATCCGCAGCAGAGCCACCACAGTGTATTCACTATCTGGGAGAGGGACACGTTCCACAAAAGTGTTTTCACTGCCATGGCTTGACTGCTAGGGCCAGAAAAGACCAGGATGTTTGGTTGTGACTTCTCCTCATGGAGAAATCACTGCATCCAGCATCAGACCCAGGCCTGGACTCTTCCAGCTTTCACCCTCAGCCAGGTCATCTGCCGATCACTGCAGTCCCATAAGAGAAAGTTGTCCCTCTCTCACTCTGATGAGAAGAAACGAGCTCCCTCCTCATATTCTGAGGCACAGCTTCT